GAAGTCTATGAAGCTCATCTCCCTGTCACTACTGACCAGGACACAGGTAGACTTCCATGGGTTTTTATTGCACAGGCGCGGCCAGCAGAGAGAGGACATTGATGCAGAATGTAAGCAAACATAGGAGGCCCCAGGCTCCGCTGTATGCATCTGTGGTGGGGGAGGGTGGGCTCTGTTAGAATATTGTTAACAACTGATGAAAAAAATATATCAGCCATGAACAGTGCATCATTTTAATAAGTCATCTGGTTTATACATATGCATTAGGCAAACAATTGCAGAGCTCTGCCAAGCAGGAACCTGAGCCCACCTGTAGAGAGCAAATTTGGCTACACCATGTACAAATACGCTTACAAACTACATAAATAAAATGTTTGTTATTTTTAACAATAACACATACCAAAAAGATTAAGGCTTCATTCACACCTGAGCAGCTGTCCGCGCATAGTCGGCTGTGCGGATATGCGCGGAACCGATCTGAACATAGAATACAATGCACTTCAATGTGCATTGTTCAGACCATTGCAGGCGCCGTGCAGTACAAAACCGTGCGGCCCCGTAATAGTTCAAGCGTGATAATCCAGCAGATTCCACATGTTGGCGGCTAATAGCCGCAAATAAGCGGCATCCACGCGGATTTTATAATAAGGTCTCCGGCCTGTGGGAAACCACAAACGCTATAGGTGAATGCAGCCATACAGCAAGCTAATTCATTTAAAACAAATAAAGAAAGTCCAGGTGGATCAGTTCAATTTTCTCCCAACATAAGAATCACCCTCCTGAAAGCATACAGTTTGCCTCTCCAGTGCTTCTATTTTTTTAACCAAGCATACCTGTAATCCCCCAGGTCCCTATGGGGCCAAAAACTGCCTTTATGCCAGATAACTGGACTTCAGGGAAAACCCTTCTTTGCACTCCATCCTCTGGTCTGCTCCATGTCCCTGACTACATCTATGTGCTGTTCTGGTATTAGCCCCAATATTCTCTTCCTCCAGTCACACAGAACATTCAGCTGGCCCCTTGCCCCCTATTTTGGGTACCTGGAAAAATGTCTATTAAAATGTGTGCGTTTTCCCGCAAAACATGCAGAATTGAAAACGTTATGCATGAATGGAGCCTTAAAAAGGTGAGAGTTTAGTGAAAAGAATACTGGCTCATCATTGTGCTGCTGCACCTTCAACCAAAGTGTACCGCTGTTTTTTTTTGGTGGGTTCCCCACTTAAAGGGACACTAAACCCAGCAGTTAAATCTTAAAAAAGCATTTAAGTACCTTAACTATTAGTTACTATAGTGCAGCTTACCAACCATTAAATGTGGTGACTGCATTAGTTTTCTTTTAGAAGGTTTTTTTCCCCCCCTTATTTTACCTGGTGGTCCAGTCAGCAACACTTCCTGTCTTAGGGTGACTCCACTATGGAGGAGCAATGGGGCCACCCTTGGACAGCAGCACTTTGAGGGTAGAAGTATGGAGAGGGAAGTGTTAGAAGCACTAGTAGATTTAGATGGACGTAAATTAAAATTCGAGCTCCAGATAAACTTTTTTAGGCAGTTACAGCAACAGTTTTATTTTTCCTTTTGGGATAAAAATTTCACATAAATGAATAAAAGCAGACCATTGTTAGTTTGTCTCAGTCCTCTGACACTTTTGCTGGACAGCATGGTCAAAGGAAGTTGAAAAAATAAAAGCTACAATAAATGTATTTTTTTAGCCTCTGTATTTTGCTTCCCGCAGTAACATAACTTTAGCTGGTCTTTACGGTTTGAGTAAATTAGAGATTCAAGTATATCTAAATGCCAAACAATGTAATATTGCCATCACATTAGTACAAAAAAAAAAAGGGGGGGGGTGGGGACGACAACACCTTGAATAACTGCACAGTGTCTCAAACAAACCTCTTAAATCAGATTCTGCTGTATAGACCCTCTTGCAGCGACCTGACAGGCAGAATCTGATTGTACAAGGTCTACTTAATTCTTGTAGCACAAATTATCAAAACAATAAAAACCATGTACGCTGCTGTGCCCCGATATAGGATAGAACGTATTAGTCTTGTTTATCTACAGGTGAAACTCGAATAATTAGAATATCGTGCAAAAGTAATTGCAGTAAGTGCTGCAAACATGAAATAGATAGCATGGAAATGTGAAGATAACTTGCCCTTCGTCAGCCTACAATGCTTCACTTTTGGAGTGTGGAGTATGAGGAAGTTACGATTGCCACAACCAAACCAACTTTTCTCCACACATCAACAAACTATCGTCATATATTTTAAAAAAGGGAGGTTATTAAAAGAAAAAAGCCCTAAAACAGCAATTCCCATTCCACAAAGTTCCGGCATGGATCAACTGGACACATCAGTTCTGTAATCATCCTACACACACAGAATAAATGGTAAACTAATCGCATTGCTTATCATTTCTGTATTTTTATCTAAAGAACAAATAGACAAACATCGAAGAATAAAAAGACGCCTGGAAACAAATGCGAGCGGAGATGAAGTCCCCAACATAGAAATACTTGGATCCCTAAACCTGGCAAGCTGCAGTGCAGAATCAGGAGACACAGATGTTCCACTAAGTGGATGTTTTTGTTTTCTTTTCTCAGAAAAAGGAAAAAAAAAATGGATTTGAATAAATAAATGAACTTCGCAGTCTTTCACCTTCCTTCTGATCCCCCAGCACATATACTATTACAAGGCACACAACAGCCTCTTCTCAACAAGACCGAGCGTACAAGCTAACCCACCCAGGGCATAATCACCAGAGAAGGCACAATGGAAGAGCAACTTCACGAATGAAAGGTGAGCAAACTTCCAGAGGAAGACAACAGCTGAACAATGAAGCCAGAAAGAAGGAAAGCAGCAATCCAGCCACATAGGACTCCAGCACCCTGCTAAACAACAAAACACACAGACCAAAGATACAAAAGAAGATGATTAATAAAGCCGTTCACTTTGTCAGGTCACACAGTTTAGTAAATAGGGTGAAGCTGCGTTCACTTAAAGTGCCCAATTATGTGCAGGGGAAGTTAAAGGACAATTTTGCCTGTGCAGGATTACAGCGATCACATCTTCACCAAGTTTACTTTTCCAAGTGAACAGTCTTTATTGCTTTAGTAAATTAAGCGTAATGCAAGTGTTCAGCCCTCTGTGTTCCATGCAGGGGGGAGGCTACAGGGTCCATGCGCGAAGGAGGCTACAGGGTCTATAGTCCATGTAGGAAGGAGGCTATAGGGTCCATGCAGGAAGGAGGCTATAGGGTCTACAGTCCATGCAGGAAGGAGGCTACAGGGTCCATAGTCCATGTAGGAAGGAGGTTATCGGGTCCATGTAGGAAGGAGGCTATAGGGTCTAGAGTCCATGCAGGAAGGAGGCTATAGGGTCCATGCATGAAGGAGGCTACAGGGTCTATAGGGTCCATGTAGGAGGATATAGGGTCCACACACAAAGTAGGCTATAGGGTCTATAGTCCATGTAGAAAGGAGGCTATAGGGCCCATATAGAAGGTTATAGGATATATAGTCCACTTAGAAAGGAGGCTATAGGGTCCATGCAGGAAGGAGGCTATAGGGTCCATGCAGGTGGCTATAGGGTCCATGCAGGAAGGAGGCTATAGGGTCCATGTAGGAGGCTATAGGGTCCATGTAGGAGGCTATAGGGTCCATGTAGGAGGCTATAGGGTCCATGTAGGAGGCTATAGGGTCCATGTAGGAGGCTATAGGGTCCATGTAGGAGGCTATAGGGTCCATGTAGGAGGCTATAGGGTCCATGTAGGAGGCTATAGGGTCCATGTAGGAGGCTATAGGGTCCATGTAGGAGGCTATAGGGTCCATGTAGGAGGCTATAGGGTCCATGTAGGAGGCTATAGGGTCCATGTAGGAGGCTATAGGGTCCATGTAGGAGGCTATAGGGTCCATGTAGGAGGCTATAGGGTCCATGTAGGAGGCTATAGGGTCCATGTAGGAGGCTATAGGGTCCATGTAGGAGGCTATAGGGTCCATGTAGGAGGATATAGGGTCCACACACAAAGTAGGCTATAGGGTCTATAGTCCATGTAGAAAGGAGGCTATAGGGTCCATGTAGGAGGCTATAGGGTCCATGCACGAGGCTATATGGTCCATGCACGAGGCTATAGGGTTCATGCACGAGGCTACAGGGTCCAGACACAAAAGAGGCTATAGGGTTTATAGTCCATGTAGGAAGTTATAGGGTCCATGCAGGGAGGCTATAGGGTCTACAGTCCATGCAGGAAGGAGGCTACAGGGTCCATGTAGGAGGCTATAGGTTCCATGCAAGAAGGAGGCTACAGGGTCTATAGGGTCCAGACAAGGGGCTATAGGGTCTATAGTCCATGTAGAAAGGAGGCTATAGGGTCCATGTAGGAAGCTACAGGGTCCCTGAAGGAGGATACAGGGTCTTTAGTCCATGTACAAAGGAGGCTATAGGGTCCATGTAGGAGGCTATAGGGTCTATAGCCCATGTAAAAAGGCTATAGGGTCCATGTAGGAAAGAGGCTATAGGGTCCATGTAGGAAGGAGCTGAAGCCAAGGCTGATACGAAGACACGTTTAAGAGTCCTCCACCTTTACAATGTATCCAGTACAGAAGTGGCTGCGCTGCGGACGCGATATAAAGAAAACCCAGCATTTTAGCGATCGGTATAGATGAGATCACACCGTGTGTGTGCGTGTGTACACACATACACCGCTCGGCCGTGTGTGTACACACACAGGCAGTCAGTCAGTCACACACACACACACACACACACACACACACACACACACACACACACACACACACA